ATGTACGGCAGGACCAACTCGGAAAGATAGGTAGGAGCAAGCCCATGTAACGCTTTATAGGTTAACAGTAAAACCTTGAAATCAGCCCTTGCCTTAACAGGAAGCCAGTGTAGGGAAGCTAGCACTGGAGTAATATGATCAAATTTCTTGGTTCTAGTCAGGATTCTAGCAGCCGTATTTAGCACTAACTGAAGTTTATTAGGTTTTTAATCCGGATGATAAGGGATAGAAGGAATGAGAATCGGCAAGAAGAAAAAAATAGATAGGAGAATTCGTGATCGAGTGAAAAGGAAAGGAGACAAATAATGATATATTCAGCGACAGAGGATGTTCAGATATTCATCGAAAAAAGAAAAATGGGGTTTCCGCTGAAAAAAAAGAAAGAACCGATGCCGTGCAAGAACAATAGTGATAGCAATTAATAAAGAAAGGTGAGACGAAGGGCGTTACTAAAGATATAAAAAGTAGAAGGAAAAGCATAGGGGGCGAGGAGACGGAAAAATGTGAGAGTGGAGAGGGTGTGTTAAAGGGCGGAAAGAGGGAACATGTAGAAGCGGCGCATTTAGATTACGTTACGGGAGTGAAAAGGAAAGACAAAGAAGAATCAGGACGAAAAGAAAGAGAGACAAACAAAGTCGCAAACAAAAAAAAGAAGTAAAAACGGCGAGGCTAGAGAGAAAAGATGCAAAAATGGAGACTGAGATATAGGCAATAGCTAATCTAGAAGTAACAAATGCATGGATTAATTTTTCTGCATCATTTTTGGACAGAAAATTTCTGATTTTTGCAATGTTACGTAGATGGAAAAAAGCTGTCCCTTGAAACAGCAGTCTTGATATGTTCGTCAAAAGAGAGATCAGGGTCAAGAGTAACGCCTAGGTCCTTCACAGTTTTATTTGAGACGACTTTACAACCATCAAGATGAATTGTCAGATTTAACAGAAGATCTCTTTGTTTCTTGGGACCTAGAACAAGCATCTCTGTTTTGTCCGAGTTTAAAAGTAAAAAGTTTTCAGCCATCCACTTCCTTATGTCTGAAACACAGGCTTCTAGCGAGGGCAATTTTGGGGCTTCACCATGCTTCATTGAAATGTACAGCTGTGTGTCATCCGCATAGCAGTGAAAGTTAACATTATGTTTTCGAATAACATCCCCAAGAGGTAAAATATATAGTGAAAACAATAGTGGTCCTAAAACGGAACCTTGAGGAACACCGAAATGTACAGTTGATTTGTCGGAGGACAGACCATTCACAGAGACAAACTGATATCTTTCCGACAGGTAGGATCTAAACCAGGCCAGAACTTGTCCGTGTAGACCAATTTGGGTTTCCAGTCTCTCCAAAAGAATGTGGTGATCGATGGTGTCAAAGGCAGCACTAAGGTCTAGTAGCACGAGGACAGATGCAGAGCCTCGGTCTGACGCCATTAAAAGGTCATTTACCACCTTCACAAGTGCAGTCTCAGTGCTATGATGGGGTCTAAAACCAGACTGAAGCATTTCGTATACATTGTTTGTCTTCAGAAAGGCAGTGAGTTGCTGCGCAACAGCTTTTTCTAAAATTTTTGAGAGGAATGGAAGATTCGATATTGGCCGATAGTTTTTTATATTTTCCGGGTCAAGGTTTGGCTTTTTCAAGAGAGGCTTTATCACTGCCACTTTTAGTGAGTTTGGTACACATCCGGTGGATAGAGAGCTGTTTATTATGTTCAACATAGGAGGGCCAAGCACAGGAAGCAGCTCCTTCAGCAGTTTAGTAGGAATAGGATCCAGTATGCAGCTTGAAGGTTTAGAGGCCATGATTATTTTCATCATTGTGTCAAGAGATATAGTACTAAAACACTTAAGTGTCTCTCCCGATCCCATGCCCTCGCAGAGCTGTGCAGATCCAGGACAGCTAAGCCCTGGAGGAATACGCAGATTCAAAGAGGAGTCCGTAATTTGCTTTCTAATGGTCATGATCTTTTCCTCAAAGAAGTTCATGAATTTATCACTGCTGAAGTGAAAACCATCCTCTCTTGGGGAATGCTGCTTTTTAGTTAGCTTTGCAACAGTATCAAAAAGAAATTTTGGATTGTTCTTATTTTCCTCGATTAATTTGGAAAAGTAGGATGATCGAGCAGCAGTGAGGGCTCTTCGGTACTGCACGGTACTGTCTTTCCAAGCTAGTCGGAAGACTTCCAGTTTGGTGTGGCGCCATTTCCGTTCCAATTTCCTGGAAGCTTGCTTCAAAGCTCGGGTATTTTCTGTATACCAGGGAGCTAGTTTCTTATGACAAATGTTTTTCGTTTTTAGGGGTGCAACTGCATCTAGGGTATTGTGCAAGGTTAAATTTAGTTCCTCAGTTAAGTGGTTAACTGATTTTTGTCCTCTGACGTCCTTGGGTAGGCAGAAGGGGTCTGGAAGGGCATCAATGAATTTTTGTGTTGTCTGAGAATTTATAGCACGACTTTTGATGCTCCTTGGTTGGGGTCTGAGCAGATTATTTGTTGCGATTGCAAACGTAATAAAATGGTGGTCCGATAGTCCAGGATTTTGTGGAAAAACATTAAGATCTACAACATTTATTCCATGGGACAAAACTAGGTCCAGAGTATGACTGTGGCAGTGAGTAGGTCCAGAGACATGTTGGACAAAACCCACTGAGTCGATAATGGCTCCGAAGGACTTTTGGAGTGGGTCTGTGGACTTCTCCATGTGAATATTAAAATCACCAAAAATTAGAATATGATCTGCTATGACTACAAGGTCTGATAGGAATTCAGGAAACTCAGAGAGGAACGCTGTATATGGCCCAGGAGGCCTGTAAACAGTAGCTATAAAAAGTGATTGAGTAGGCTGCATAGATTTCATGACTAGAAGCTCGAAAGATGAAAACGTCATTTTTTTTTTTGTAAATTGAAATTTGCTATCGTAAATGTTAGCAACACCTCCGCCTTTGCGGGATGCACGGGGAATATGGTCACTAGTGTAACCAGGAGGTGAGGCCTCATTTAACACAGCAAATTCATCAGGCTTAAGCCATGTTTCAGTCAGGCCAATCACATCAAGATTATGATCAGTGATTAGTTCATTGACTATGACTGCCTTTGAAGTGAGGGATCTAACATTAAGTAACCCTATTTTGAGATGTGAGGTATCACGATCTCTTTCAATAATGGCAGGAATGGAGGAGGTCTTTATCCTAATAAGATTGCTAGGGTGGACACCACCATGTTTAGTTTTGCCCAACCTAGGTCGAGGCACAGACACAGTCTCAATGGGTATGGCTGAGCTGACTACACTGACTATGCTATTGGCAGACTCCACTAAGCTGGCAGGTTGGCTAACAGCCTGCTGCCTGGCCTGCACCCTATTTCACTGTGGGGCTAAAGGAGTTAGAGCCCTATCTATGTTGGTAGATAAGAGGAGAGCACCCCTCCAGCTAGGATGGAGTCCGTCACTCCTCAGCAGGTCAGGCTTGATCCTGTTTGTGGGTGAGTCCCAGAAAGAGGGCCAATTATCCACAAATGTTATCTTTTGGGAGGGGCAGAAAACAGTTTTCAACCAGCGATTAAGTGCTGAGACTCTGCTGTAGAGCTCGTCACTTCCCCTAACTGGGAGGGGGCCAGAGACAATTACTCGATGCCGACACATCTTTCTAGCTGATTTACACGCTGAAGCTATGTTGCACTTGGTGACCTCTGACTGTTTCATCCTAACATCGTTGGTGCCGACGTGGATAACAATATCTCTATACTCTCTACACTCGCCAGTTTTAGCTTTAGCCAGCACCATCTTTAGATTAGCCTTAACGTCGGTAGCCCTGCCCCCTGGTAAACAGTGTATGATCGCTGGGTGATTCGTTTTAAGTCTAATACTGCGGGTAATGGAGTCGCCAATGACTAGGGTTTTCAATTTGTCAGAGCTAATGGTGGGAGCCTTCGGCGTCTCAGACCCCGTAACGGGAGGAGTAGAGACTAGAGAAGACTCAGACTCAGACTCCGACTCGCTACATAATGGGGAAAACCGGTTGAAGGTTTCTGTCGGCCTACGGGAGGGCAGCTCCTGGTCAGCCCAATCCAATATCTTCTCTGTCCCCCTGTCCCCCTGAGTCCCTGCCCATCTTCCGAAAACTTCTGAAAACCTACCTCCTCAAAGAGTATCATAAGTAATCCCACAGCACCCCCCCCCACCCCCTTCTACTTTTGTGAACTAACAGTTGCACTTGACTTTTTCCCCCTTACTAGCTCTGACTTTTCTGATAGCTACTTTATTGTAAGTCGCTCTGGATAAGCGCGTCAGCTAAATAACTCAAATGTAAAATGTAAAGACGAATGGCTCTAGTCATATAACAATATGCATGAGAACAGCAGTATGATATCCAGTTGTGCATCTCTGAGTGATGTTCTATTGATTTTCGGTGTCATTGAAATTACCCCGGGAATCGATAGAACATTGCTCAGAGATGAAAAAAAATTATATAACATTCAAAATGGGTGAATCTTTCCTTTAAATCTAAACGCAAGAGCAAACAATGGAACACCACAGAGAGTGCACCACCTTACTCCCTATAATGCCTGGAATCGTAAATTACAGGTGTGGGGGCACACTGCAACACAATCACGTTGCCGTTGTTCACTAGGTCTATTTGACATGCTGTGGAGCTGCAAGAGGCAGAGGGTGGTTAGATGAACACTGAGCCTGCTTTGTAGAGTTGGTAGGGAGCAGTAGCGGGTTGTCAGTTAGTTGAATGGCAGAACCAGGGCTGCTGTCGTACGAGGGCATGAGGAGGTTGGCTCTCTAATGAGGGCCTGACTGCAGGGTGACGGGAAACAAAAGAACCCTGGTGAGTGGTGACATCACCCCTGCCACACACACGTCTCTGTCTGCCACTGGGTAAACACCTGCACCACGGGAATGGTGTATCTAGATACTACAGGGGGTGGCCCTAAGGGGCAATCCCTTGAATTGTGACCTACTTTGTCCCTCAGGTCACTGTAGTAACAGGCTACTCACTTGAACAGCTCCTGGCGTGAGATGGCCCTGTTGGTCAGAGGGTCGATGGCGTATACCATCAGGTCTGACTTGGAGTAGTCCTCCTGCTCGAAGCCATCGCCGAACCGCTGCGGCCCGATGGACTCCACCACCACTTTGGCCCCGGGAATCTGGTCCTGCACATAGCGCTCCAAGATCCTGCAGAGGGAGAGGAAGGAATTATCAGGTGCTTTGTATAAGAACAAGATGACAGCAGGATCTCTGGGAAAATGTTAAATGGTGAATTATATGGTAAATCCAAAAGGTAAAAACGTACTGCAATTCATAGTTGCTACACCTACCTGTAGCTGTACTCTATTTCAACACTTGACACTGAGCTAATGCTGCCTCAACTGTTTAAAAAGAAGAGGCCTTGACTGAATGGATTCAGGCTCACTAAAAGGATTTCTCAGTCAGAGGATATGCATCTTAATTCTAACGCTTGTATTAAGTATGATCAGGCAAGTTCTTGATCAGTACATGAATAATGACAGTGATTAGAATGAGGTTGTGCATTGCATTTACAATAAAAAACATGACACCCTATCCTCCTTGAGACCGTCAGCAACTATAAAGAGTAAATTCCCACACGTTTCCATGACCCTGTCAAAATCGCCTCTCCCTCAGGAAGAAATCGCACTAAATGTTTTTGGATTGCAATGTAAAGCCAAAAATGGTGCTCCATCTCTAAAATTCTTAATTGAAGTATCTTCAATAGTATCAGTTCAAGGCAAATGTCCTTGGGTGCATCTTAAATAGCACCCTGTTCACTATAAAGTGCACTACGCACTATACCAGCATAGGGCTCTGGTCAAAGGTATTGCAATATATAGAAAATAGTGGCCAGTTCAGACACAACCCTTGTTTGGCAATGGGCGTCTGCAGCCCCCTGAGCTCTGATCTGAGCAGGAAGGCAAAGGTAAAGTAGGCGTTGAGACAATTACCTGCTGTGCCCTGAATGTTCCTTCTCCCCAGGGAAACTCCAAAAAGGATGGCAGGACAGAATTGAGACCAGATGGGAGTTGAGAACACTGATAAACTAGGTGGCTCCACAGCTGGGGCCATAGCTCTTGGAGCTAAAGTGGACCTGGGATGAGACCCAGTCAGAGGAAGTCCATCATGGAGAACTGATACTGTTTGACTGTTTATCAGTAGGAGGATAGGTTGAGTGATGGACAGGTGTACAGAAGCAATACAGCCAATACACGCAAGCTCACACACATAAAGTATGCTGGAATTCAGGCACACACACACACGCTCTTCCACCATGTCACGCCCTGACCTTTAAATGCCTGTTGTTTCTCGTTGGTTTGGTCAGGGTGTGAATTTCTATGTGTAAATCTATGTGGTGTATTTCTATGTTGGCCGGGTGTGGTTCCCAATCAGAGGCAGCTGTCGATCACTGTCTCTGATTGGGGATCATACTTAGGTAGCCATTTTGCCTACCTATGGTGTGGGATCTTGACTCTTGTTTGGCTTGTTTGTGTGTAGCTATTGTGAGCTTCACGTTACGTTGCTTTTGTTGTTTTGTCGTGTGTTAACTTCGTTACTAAACATGTATGCATTCCACGCTGCACCTTGGTCCAATCCTGTATTCAACGAACGTGACAGAAGATCCCACCACCAACAGACCAAGCAGCGTGCCCAGGAGGAGCAAACACCCTGGACACAGCGGGAAGCAACATTGGTAGATGTCCTCCTCGGTTCGGGGAAAATTACCGAGGAGGAGGCCGTCCGTTACGATGAGGTAATGCAGGAGGTTGGAGTCCAGATAGACGGCGACTCCAAAATGCGAAACGATGAAGGAGACCTGAGAGGCAACCCCAAGAAAAAAAATTTGGGGGGCACACGGGGTGTTCGACGAAGCAGCAGGAGGCCGTGAAAGGGCTGACTGTGGAGAAGGAGGCCGCTATTGTAGAGGTCCTCCAAGACCTGCGGATCAGCAGTTTGAGAGAGGAGGCCACCACATTACGGGGGCTGTTAGAGAAGAGGGAGCAGGAGCTCTCACTTCAGAAGGAGGCGCTGCAGGAAGCCCAAAGGGAGAAGGAATTAGTGGATGCATGGAGAGAGGAGCTGGCCAGGCAACAGAAGGAGCGTGTGTTCATTGAGGAACCAAGTTATGTGGAGATACGCACTGTGTCGCCAGTGCGCCTTCACAGCCCAGTGCGTCCTGTTCCAGCGCCCCGCACGTGCCATGCGAAAGTGGGCATCCAGCCAGGCCGGGTTATGCCGGCTCAACGCTCCTGGTCTCCAGTGCACCTCCACGGTCCAGTATATCCTGCGCCAGTCCTACGCACTGTGTCGCCAGTGCGCGTTCACAGCCCAGTGCGTCCTGTGCCAGCGCCCCGCACGTGCCGTGCGAAAGTGGGCATCCAGCCAGGACAGGTTGTGCCAGCTTTACACTCCAGACCTCCAGTACGCCTCCACAGTCCCGTACCTGCTCCCCGCACCAAACCAGTGGTGCATGTATCCAGTCCGGTACGGCCCGTACCTGCTCCTCGCACCAAACCAGTGGTGCGTGTCTCCAGCCTGGTACGGCCCGTGCCTGCTCCTCGCACCAGACCAGTGGTGCGTGTCCCCAGTCCGGTACGGCTGGTGCCGGAGCAGTCCGCTCCACCGGTGCCCAGTCCAGTTCCGGTCAGCTGCTCCACTCCTGTGCCAGAGCAGTCCGCTCCACCGGTGCCCATTCCAGCTCTGGTCAGCTGCTCCAGTCCAGTGTCAGAGTAGTCCGCTCTACCGGTGCCTAGTCCATCCCCGGTCAGCTGCTCCAGTCCAGAGCCAGAGCAGTTCGCTCCACCGGGGTCCAGTTCAGCCCCTCTCCAGGGTCGGGGCCTCCCACACCAGGGTCCAGACAGGGCTTGGTGCATCGTGGGAGGACTGAGAGGGGAAGCATTGCGCCGAGATCCAGACCGGACCAGGGGTGCAACGGGGAGGCAGAAAGCGAGAAGACGTCATGCCCGGAGCCGCCACCGAGGCTAGATGCCCACCCGGACCCTCCCCTGTTAAGTTAGGTTTTGCGGCCGGAGTCCGCACCTTTGAGGGTGGGGTACTGTCACGCCCTGACCTTTAAATTCCTGTTGTTTCTCGTTGGTTTGGTCAAGGTGTGAATTTCTATGTGTAAATCTATGTGGTGTATTTCTATGTTGGCCGGGTGTGGTTCCCAATCAGAGGCAGCTGTCGATCGTTGTCTCTGATTGGGGATCATACTTAGGTAGCCATTTTGCCTACCTATGGTGTGGGATCTTGACTCTTGTTTGGCTTGTTTGTGTGTAGCCATTGTGAGCTTCACGTTACGTTACTTTTGTTGTTTTGTCGTGTGTTAACGTCGTTAATAAACATGTATGCATTCCACGCTGCACCTTGGTCCAATCCTGTATTCAACAAATGTGACACACCACCCCCCCCTCAGAGGAACAGGAGACAGCTAGGGAGCCACTGACAATTTCCCTCTTTCCCTCGTTAGCAATTTAGCTTCAGAGAGAAGCTAGACACCTTTCTGATCACAATGCTAATAGCTAAGCAGTAAGCTCAAGACAAGGATGGAACCATCAGGGAGTGGCTGTGTGAAGTGTATGACAAAGCTCTGACAGAGCTGTGTAGGCAGGTGGTGAGCGGCTCTAATGGAAACTGAAGGAAGGCTCTAATGGAAACTGAAGGAAGGCTCTAATGGAAACTGAAGGAAGGCTCTAATGGAAACTGAAGGAAGGCTCTAATGGAAACTGAAGGAAGTCTCTCATGGAAACTGAAGGAAGGCTCGCGTCGCCTGACAATTTATTTTGAGCAGCTGTCAAACAGCGGAACACCGTTTCAGCTCGATAGAAGGCAGCGATAAAACCAACACTGCACACTGATTCATACAGCCCCCTCAATCACCTGCATGCCTGGGAAAGGGCCAAAGGTAAGTGTTGCTCAAGTGAGTCATTTGCATATCAAGTTTAGGAGACGGCTATAAGCACAGTCGCGACTTGACTGTTAAAATACGGATTATAATAGATTAGATATCTTCTACGTTACCTGAGGAGCTTGTCCTTGTTCTGTTCCACCACTGTAGGAGCAACGTTGGAGACCACCACCTGCATATCCAGCAGATTCACTACAGATACCTTGGAAACAGAGGTCAATCAAATGATTGATGGTACAGACACAAAACAAGCATCTATTTCCCTCCCCTCCCTAACTTCTACAAATAAGCTTTAATTTTGGACAGCAGGCTAAACCACACGGAAAATCTCCCTGTAGTTTGTGCAGTCCCCATGAAATGAAGCTTCCCATTGGAATTAGATTCATTTAGCCACAGCGTGGTTCCTCTCGTTCAGGCAAGGCTCTGGCCCAGCCAGCCTCTTATTTCATTAAGAGCAAAGGGAGTAAAATAGGCTGCACAAGGCCGTAATGTATAATCAATGGTCCCCATCTGCCCTGGGACAGTTCAATTTGCAACAAACTGGGAAGTGGCCAGCACAGAAGGAACACACATTCATCTACTCTCTCAGGGATAGCTAGCCTATCTACTACAAGGCTGGAACAGGACATGGACCATTGATTAGCTGGTGTATCGATACTGTGCTATTTTACAAATGCAATTCCTATGGGAAGCTTTTGAGTGTATATTTTGGGAGGATGGCTGGGGTGTTTAGTGCCAATATACACCTGGAGAGTGGAGATATTGATATTGTGGATATCGACACACTTAATGTTGGTCCCGCAGTTCTTTTAAAAAGAGCCATAAGCTGGAATTGATCAAGGCTGGCAAGAAGGCTATGAAAAACTAGCTGGCACTGATGGAACTTCGCATTGAACAAAGACTCTGTGGGAACCAGATGGAGACCAATGACTTTTCAGGGCACAGCCACAGAAATAGAATGACTATAACAGACATTCCCATTCAATTCTATGGGAACAGGACAAACTCACCACCACCTCTGCCTTGCTGCTCAGCCCCCCCTCGCCGTAATTGTCAGTGGCGACCACTTCGAACTTGAAGTAGGAACGTCGCATGTTCCTGTACATAATGGCAGTCTTGATGACGCCGGTGTAGGGCTCAATGACAAAGCCGTCCTTGCCGTCGGTGGTGGGGGGGATAATAATCCTGTATTGCATGGAGCTGTAATTCCCTGTGTCCTTGTCCAGGGCCTGAGACACAGACAAACACAGACACACAGAGTCAAAGGATTTAAGAGGTTCAAATACAGCAGCGTCATCAAAAACAACAACAACAACACAACATCCAGATACAGATCAACTCATCCATCGAAAATAAAAGAGCAAAGATTTACTTTTAGAGCAGTTGTAGTTCTAGATTATTGCTGTAGGGGGAGTCTTTGAGCTGCGAGCCACAGTCTAACAGATACAATGCTGTCAATCTGCCCAGCTGATTTCACTGTTTGCCTCGTTGCTCTGCAGTGACATTGATTTATAATACCTTTCTATGACTGGGACTGAGTGTGACCGCACTGTGCCCTGCCCCGCCGGAGTCATTAATACAAATTTGATATTTTCAATATTCTGCAAGACTCATTCAACTCAATCGTACACCTCAGGCTAACACTATATATCTAAAGGTTCTTTGGTAACAGACCAGACCAGGAAAGAACACATCAGTCTATGAATGCAGAGTGAAAATGTGGCACAAAGACAGAGCAAGCAGAGAAAGGAGAGCCTTTGACTGTATTCTGAAAGAAACCCCAACTGTGGATCTGATTTGAGGCTGATTTGCTGAGAAATCCTTCGAAATTGGATTTGTTCTTTGCAGAGATTCCTCTTTGTTCTCCTATATGTACAGGGACTTATACTAATTATCAGAACAATGTGTCCTTCACAGACAACATCTCGCTCAGACAACGAGACATTATTTATTTCTACAGTGCCACTTCTCACTTCTGTCTCCCGCTCTCTCCCCACATGAAAAAATACTATAGTTCACAGTAGTGTTTTTGCGGACTTTACTGTAGTATTCACTGTAGTGTTTTTGTGGTCTAAAGTCTGCAAAAACACTAGTATTTACAGTTAACTATAGTATAAAGACTGTAGTAAAAGAAAACTGTAGTATACAGTATACTATAGTAATTAATGTAGTGTTTTGCGGACTATAGTATTTACTGTAGTGTTTTTGTGGACTGTAGTATACTGTAGTATTTACTGTAGTGTTTTTGCAGACATTACTGTAGTATTTACTATAGTGTTTTTGTTTTATTATCTTTGACATAGAAGTGGAGGCTTTATCCTTCAGGAAACCTGCAGGAAAAATACTATAAGAGCAACATTTCCTTAACCTTTAGGTTGGTAGTACTAAGGACTGAATGGATAGTTCAGAGCTTCTGTTCTTTTCTATAACATTCAGGGAACACAATATGGTCTATATTTGGCATGTAGGTTTCTCACTTATGAGTGGCACAAATTACGACATGGGGGAGGGGAATGGGCAGGGTATATGCAAATTAAATACTGTAATATTTACTATAGTTAAAAAAGTGTAGTGTTTTTGCGGACTGTAGAGTTTTGGCAGACATTACTGTAGTATTTACTGTGGTATTTACTGTAGTATTGTACAGTATACTACAACATTCTATAGTAAGTACAACACATGATTGAGGGATACTACAGTGTGTAGTATAGCATTCTACAGTATACTACAGTTTACTACATAATTCTATAGTAAGTACTGTACTATTCCATAGTAAACTGTAGTATTTTTTCATGTGGGTCCATCTCTCCTTTCTTCAGGTTGGCCACCACTCCACAAGGGTTTAAATTCCCTCTTTCTCCCTAAAAAACTATTTAAAGAAGGATTTCAAAGTAGATTAGTCTAATCTTAGAGATACTGAGCGGCTTTTACAGAAATCCATATTCAGATCTGCTTTGAATTTCCTATTAGTTAAGCAACAGGGAATAGGTATGAATACTAAAGATGAAGATATTGACCCTGATGATGAGTGAAACACCTGAGAAGTTGAATGATACCATTAGGAGATGGAACCAGTGGGAGTCTCAGCTCAGTAAATCTTTGACCCAGTAATTCCATTACCTCGTGGTCGAAAGGATTATCTCTCTTTAGAGGCTCCTGGCAAACACGTTTGTAACTGTGTGCTCTGCACTAGCCTGATTGGAGCAACAACAGTCTTGCTGCCTACTCCAGTTGCACACAGACATGGTAGAGGCAGATACAGACAGACAGACAGACAGACAGACTAAGGCAGGCAGACAGACAGACAGACAGGCAGGCAGGCAGACAGACAGACAGACAGACAGACAGACAGACAGACAGACAGACAGACAGACAGACAGACAGACAGACAGACAGACAGACAGACAGACAGGCAGGCAGGCAGGCAGGCAGGTAGGCAGGCAGGCAGACAGACAGGCAGGCAGACATACAGTGGGGAGAACAAGTATTTGATACACTGCCGATTTTGCAGGTTTTCCTACTTACAAAGCATGTAGAGGTCTGTAATTTTTTATCATAGGTACACTTCAACTGTGAGAGACGGAATCTAAAACAAAAATCCAGAAAATCACATTGTATGATTTTTAAGTAATTAATTTGCATTTTATTGGATGACATAAGTATTTGATAAATCAGAAAAGCAGAACTTAATATTTGGTACAGAAACCTTTGTTTGCAATTACAGAGATCATACGTTTCCTGTAGGTCTTGACCAGGTTTGCAGACACTGCAGCAGGGATTTTGGCCCACTCCTCCATACAGACCTTCTCCAGATCCTTCAGGTTTAGGGGCTGTCGCTGGGCAATACGGACTTTCAACTCCCTCCAAAGATTTTCTATTGGGTTCAGGTCTGGAGACTGGCTAGGCCACTCCAGAACCTTTAGATGCCACTCCTTAGTTGCTCTGGCTGTGTGTTTTGGGTCGTTGTCATGCTGGAAGACCCAGCCACGACCCATCTTCAATGCTCTTACTGAGGGAAGGAGGTTGTTGGCCAAGATCTCGCGATACATGGCCCCATCCATCCTCCCCTCAATACGGTGCAGTCGTCCTGTCCCCTCTGCAGAAAAGCATCCCCAAAGAATGATGTTTCCACCTCCATGCTTCACGGTTGGGATGGTGTTCTTGGGTTTGTACTCATCCTTCTTCTTCCTCCAAACACGGCGAGTGGAGTTTAGACCAAAAAAGCTCTTTTTTTGTCTCATCAGACCACACAACCTTCTCCCATTCCTCCTCTGGATCATCCAGATGGTCATTGGCAAACTTCAGACGGGCCTGGACGTGCGCTGGCTTGAGCAGGGGGACCTTGCGTGCGCTGCAGGATTTTAATCCATGACGGCGTAGTGTGTTACTAATGGTTTTCTTTGAGACTGTGGTCCCAGCTCTCTTCAGGTCATTGACCAGGTCCTGCCGTGTAGTTCTGGGCTGATCCCTCACCTTCCTCATGATCATTGATGCCCCACGAGGTGAGATCTTGCATGGAGCCCCAGACCGAGGGTGATTGACCGTCATCTTGAACTTCTTCCATTTTCTAATAATTGCATCAACAGTTGTTGCCTTCTCACCAAGCTGCTTGCCTATTGTCCTGTAGCCCATCCCAGCCTTGTGCAGGTCTACAATTTCATCCCTGATGTCCTTGCACAGCTCTCTGGTCTTGGCCATTGTGGAGAGGTTGGAGTCTGTTTGATTGAGTGTGTGGACAGGTGTGTTTTATACAGGTAACGAGTTCAAACAGGTGCAGTTAATACAGTTAATGAGTGGAGAACAGGAGGGCTTCTTAAAGAAAAACTAACAGGTCTGTGAGAGCCGGAATTCTTACTGGTTGGTAGGTGATCAAATACTTACGTCATGCAATAAAATGCAAATTAATTACTTAAAAATCATACAATGTGATTTTCTGGATTTTTGTTTTAGATTACGTCTCTCATAGTTGAAGTGTACCTATGATAAAAAGTACAGACCTCTACATGCTTTGTAAGTAGGAAAACCTGCAAAATCGGCAGTGTATCAAATACTTGTTCTCCCCACTGTACATCAGTTGTCTTGCTACGGCTCATCATTCTGCAACAGAGCATGAGATGCAAAGACCATCCAGCGGGTAGTGATTAGGATTATAATGAAAGGTGCCCTTGTGTGGGCGCTGTGCCACTCAGCCTCTATAGTCTGCGCACATCACCTCACTCACACACACACACACACACACACACACACACACACACACACACACACACACACACACACACACACACACACACACACACACACACATACATACACACACACACACATACACACACACACACACACACACAAACACACATACACACACACACACATCCACTGTCTCAGTCTGAGTACACACCCAACAGGTGTCACAGTGGCTTTAGCTACAAAAGGTGCGAAAAACAAACACATGCTATTGACAGGCGTTTGGACATTTGTATGTGAGAGCCTCTACGGCCTTAGCATTCTAAGAATTGCTAGGGGTGTCAGAAAGTCTCAGAGGTTTGAGCCTCCAGCTGGTAATGCATTGTCAACACGGGCCAAATAACAGTTCTCCCAGGATTACAACTACAAAACTCTGCATATAAAATGCAAACACAGATAATCACTCAACCAGACACATTTTTGGGCATAAAACGTTTCTATTCCTTTGGCTGGTTGCATTGTGTGGAGGAGTGATCGTGAAATGCGTCGCCTATATTTGAGGATTTTTTGATAGTTCCATTTTAGAAAAGTTCAATTTTAGAAAATAATGGGTTGTTCTTTTAAGACATCAATTGCACTATCTAGAAGTGGTACACTTTGGCTGCGTTTAGACAGGCTGCCCAATTCTGATCATTTTTTCACTAATTGGTCTTTTGACCAATCAGATCAGTGCTGAAAAAGCTTTGGGGAAAAAAACAGAATTGGGCTGCCTGTCTAAACGCAGCCTTTGTGTTTGAAAAGAGCTGGATGTACCTGAACTTGTAGTACAGAAGTGAATGTCTTGGCGTCCTCTGCCACTCCTCCCAGGTACAAGGGTTTGGTAAAGACAGGAGGGTGATCATTCTCATCCCAAACATCAATGAACACCCTCGCTGTGTTAGCTGCAAACAGAGGAGAAAGAAACAAAGAATTCAAAATGAACCCCAGAGCAAAGGTGAATCTCATTTGGATGAAATAGAAATATACAAAACTAGAGGGTATGTCTAAACAGCCTAAATGTGCATCATATACAAAACAGGAAGTCTACAATTCACTGCCAATACACTGATTTAGACGTTTGACTAATATAGTACAACACTGCATTGCGGTTGGTCATTTCTCAAAGTAAAAAGCCACATCCTAAAGGGCTACAACTGCGCCGAGGGAAGTTGCCAAATAAAATGCCATACATCATCTGACAAAATGCTCTGGGACCGACCAGGGGGACAGTAGAGTCGGCACATTTCTCGTTTATCCCTGCCAGGATGTCCAATGTTACAGCGGATGACAACACTAAATGGGCAACAACAGGAGAGTACCTGCTGCCGCAATGCAACACACACAGACACGCATGCAAATAAGCACCCCTGTTGAATCAGTGATGTGGCTCTAATCACTTGAACAAAGTGTCTTCATTATACAGTTGATGGTGGCCACCTACATAGCCAAACACAATGGGGAGTACCCATCCCCTCTAGACCAGCCATTTAACACGCTAACTCCTCCAGTGGGATGAATCAAACAACATCAATAGCCCCCCCACGATGATACTCCAATGGAACAAGTAATCTATTGCCATTGGGTCTCCTCGATCATGTTTGCTGCTGCCCCCTCTCAGCTTGAATGACACATACATTTACATCATTTAGCAGACGCTCTTATCCAGAGCGACTTACAGTTAGTGAGTGCATACATTTTCATACTGGCCCCCCGTGGGAATCGAACCCACAACCCTGGCGTTGCAAGTGCCATGCTCTACCAACTGAGCTACACGGGGCCCATTAAGAGAGGGGGAAATGCAAAAATTCTTAGTCAATTGAGTTTGAGTAAAGAAAAACATGCAAAATCTATTACAAATTGTAATACAAAAAGCTCTATCTGTGCATAACATACAGCAGTGACTATGTCTACAAGTGTTTCATTTAGATGTAATGGATAACAGCGCTATTGGAATCAAATTGATTTGAGTGATTGTTTCTGCATATTGAGGAGACATGATGAGATTGGCAAGAAATTAATTACTTGTTTAATCTGCCACACGAACCAGTAACTGCTTAATTAAAATGTCTCCTCTGCAGCAACTCAGCATGATGTTGACTAATCAGAAAACGAAATAACGTGAAAGGATGAGGCGTGTTTTTAGTCTTTTGGAAAAAGCAAAGATTGGAAATAATTTATAGCCAAATGCCAGATACACATTTCTGTTACAAGAGAGAGAAAGAGAAAGACTGTAGAAACAAACATTTGAATTACTCCAATTAAGGCCGTAAAAAGCTATTTGGCCGACTATTGCCTTCAGTTTTTAAACCACTCTGAGGCCATTACCCCAGAAGCTACAGAAGGCTTTTACTACTATGGCTGACCGTGTAAAACAACACATTTCACTGCAGCTATCCGGTGTATGTGACAATAAAACACACAAAAAGAAGAAGACTTTTAGCCCTGGTCAAAAGTAGTGCACTATATAGGAAACAGGGTGCAATTTCCCAACTGACAGTTTGAATGGTAGGCAGGCTTACACTTGGAGGGCGCTCTGAGATTGGAACCGGACACTCCCATGGAGTCAGCCTCCACTTTGAGGATGTAGCTGGCGTTGGTCTCGTAGTCCAGCAGCTTGGCCGTAGAGATCACCCCAGTGCGGTTGTTGAGCCTGAATACACCTGGGAGATACATTCAGATCAACAGAGTAGTGCTAGAGTCAGCACCATATCATATCAGTCCGGGGAGAGGAGGGAGACACGCATATCAACAGAGTAGAGCAGAGCTAGCACCATATCATATCATACTGTATCAGTCCCTGGGTAGAATGACAAGGGCATTCACCTTCCCAAATCCCACTGTGTGTAGTGTCAAGTGTTGAGGCACGACACCACAGAGCGATGACACTACACTGGAGAATCACTGAGTCACTGATTGTTTTTTGTGTAAGGCCTAATTGATGCCTTACACTGAAACGCATAGCTAGTACTCATCTCGCTCCCCTTATTTTCAGACATAAAAATTAATTCCCCCAGCACGCCATAAACTTTGAAATCCACAACAATGAAGGACACTGTCATTATCTTCCCGGTGCTTCTTCATTGAATCTAATGAGAGTTAAAAGTGAAACCAATTCCCTTTGTTTCCAAATGAATAAATGCTTCAGATGTAGTTTAATGTGAGGCTCAATATGGGGATGCAATTTCATATTTTCCCATTCTGAGAAGCATGAGCCCATGTTTTAATCACAGTGAGGATTGGTGGGAGGAGGGTAGGGTCTAATCATCCCTCAGGGCGCTTTTACATGGCAGTAACTCTGTCAGCGGACACTGACTAGTGCACACAAACATACACACACACTTTGGTAGACTTAGGGGCAAAAAATAGTGCAGTCTCAGGACAGATGGTAGTCTTTTAGGTGCTTTAGACCATGACTATGACGGTGTATACCTTATATTGAACATATTTTACATTACCCCTCGCTCAAGGCAAATGGTGAAATCATTCTGAGGAACGGAGGGTTGATAACTAAATGATGAGAAAGTAAGTGACTGACTAGAGCCATATAGAGCTGTATAGAGCTGTATAGAGCTATATAGAGCTGTATAGAGCCATATAGAGCTGCACAGAGCTGTATAGAGCTGTATAGAGCCATATAGAGCCATATAGAGCTGTATAGAGCTGTATAGAGCCATATAGAGCCATATAGAGCTGTATAGAGCTGTATATAGCCATATAGAGCTGCACAGAGCTGTATAGAGCTATATAGAGCCATATAGAGCTGTATAGAGCTGTATATAGCCATATAGAGCCATATAGAGCTGTATAGAGCCATATAGAGCCATATAGAGCCATATAGAGCCATATAGAGCTGTATAGAGCCATATAGAGCTGTATAGGGCTATATAGAGCCATATAGAGCCATCTAGCGCTGTATAGAGCCATATAGAACTGTATAGAGCTATATAGAGCTATATAGAGCCATATATAGCTGTATAGAGCTGTATAGAGCCATATAGTGCTATATAGAGCTGTTTAGCGTTCCATGCATGGCTCTGTGAGTGACCTCATCACTACTTTATGTTGTTTATAGTGTGTCAGAATAAATGAGTGGTACTATCACTGCTGTATAGAAAATGACAACATGGCCTTTGGAACTAGGTCAAAGGTATAGTGTAGGTTATAGTATGCTACTCACCTCCCTCGTTGCCCTCCACTATAGAGTAGATTATCGTTTGATTGACAGCAGCAGCCAGTATGACCCCGACCACCTTCCCCACCTCAGCCATCTCACTCACGGGGGGAAACCTGGAAGAAAACACACACACACACACACACACACAATAGATCAGACACACAGATGAGACACACGCGTGCGCACACGCACACACACACACAAACACAGACACACACATCAATGACACACCAATGGGAACACAAATGGATACTGAATAGAGCTCCTCTCCAATGGAATACTGAATATTACCCCATTCTTCCAGGCCACATGTTAGCTATTGATCTCTCCCAGCGCTATAATCCACATTCTAATACCGCACTACTGTTCATACTAATACCATAGGCACAACCTCTTGAGGTCCTTAAGGGTATGTTCATATTTGCCATTTAATCAGTGACTGACTTTCTGGCAAATTAGAGCCATTAATTTACCAATAAAGTGCCAGAGAGGAATAAGCAACTGCAGGACAATGGTCCTTGAGGTATGGAGTTGGGCAGCCTTGCCATAGGGCATGTGTTTTATTCCACTTCCTCAGACTTAAAACTGGATCTGATGTACTGTAGTTGGAAAAGACAAGCAGCAAAAACATCCACTTATATACAGAGGAGTTGGAATAAACAGAGGAAAAGCAGACAAACTACCCACTTACTTTTCCACAGAGAAGTGTCCTCCTAACCCAGGATATGACTGACTGTGGAGCAATCTTGTTTAGAAATAATTTCTGCGTGATATGGTGAAATAACACTGGCAGAGATCCTGTTATTGCTTTGCCAAATAGCTTGATTATACATACTCCTACATTTATGTCATTTAGCAGACGCTCTTATCCAGAGTGACTTTACAGTTAGAGAGTGCATATATTTTTTTTCATACTGCCCCCCCGTGGGAATCGAACCCACAACCCTGGCGTTGCAAGCACCATGCTCTACCAACTGAGCTACACGGGGCCGTGTACTACTTGGCACTGTGAAATCTCCAAAGTCAATTTCATTTAATTAAATAAACTCAATTCATTTGGTCTCTGATCACAGCTGGTTCACCTCAAAAATATTGGTAATATCGGTGATGAGACAGCCTACAGGGAGGAGGTCAGAGACTTGGCAGTGTGGTGCCAGGACAACAACCTCTCCCTCAACGTCAGCAAGACCAAGGCGCTGATCGTGGACTACAGGAGAAAGAAGGGAGAGCACACCCCCATCCACATCGACGGGGCTGTAGTGGAGCGAGTCGAGAGCTTCAAGTTCCTTGGCATCCACATCACTAAGGACTTAACATGGTCCACACACACCAGCACAGTCATAAAGAGGGCATGACAGTGCCTCTTCCCCCTCAGGAGGCTGAAAATATTTGGTATGTGCCCTCAGATCCTCAAAAGGTTCTACAGCTGCACCATCGAGAGCATCTTGACTGGCTGCATCACCGCTTGGTATGGCAAATGCACCACCCTCTACCGCAAAGCACTAAAGAGGGTGGTGCGGACATCCCAATACATCACTGGGGCCGAGCTCCCTGCCTTCCAGGACCTCTATATCAGGAAGGCCCGGAAAATTTCCATAGACTCCAGCCACCCAAGCCATAGACTGTTCACTCTGCTACCGTCAGGCAAACGGTACCGGAGCATCGGCTCTCGGACCAACAGGTTCCGAGACAGCTTCTACCCCCAAGCCATAAGAGTGCTAAATAGCCATAAGACTGCTAAATAGCCAGAAGACTGCTATATAGCCAGAAGACTGCTATATAGCCAGAAGACTGCTATATAGCCAGAAGACTGCTATATAGCCAGAAGACTGTTATATAGCCAGAAGACTGCTATATAGCCAGAAGACTGCTATATAGCCAGAAGACTGCTGAATAGCCAGAAGACTGCTATATAGTTCATTAAATGGTGACCCGGAGTATCTGCACTGACCCTATCTTGCACTGACTCTATGCACACTCAAAATACTATATTTACACACTAGTACACTGACACTCTCACACGTTCACATAAACTACATACGCACACACATATCAATACAACACAAACACACATAATAATAATATGCCATTTAGCAGACGCCTTTATCCAAAGCGACTTAGAGTCATGCGTGCATACATTTTTGTGTATGGGTGGACCCGGGGATCGAACCCACTACCTTGGCGTTACAAGCGCCGTGCTCTACCAGATGAGCTACAGAGGACCACATATACACCACACCAGCTGAGCTACAGAGGACACACACATACACACTTCTACACTCATCATATGCTGCTGCTACTCTGTTCTTTATTTTACTCTTATTATTATCTATCCTGATGCCTAGTCACTTTTTTTTATTTGTTTTTATTTCACCTTTATTTAACCAGGTAAGCCAGTTGAGAACAAGTTCTCATTAACAACTGCGACCTGGCCAAGATAAAGCAAAGCAGTGCGATAAAAACAACACAGAGTTACATATGGGGTAAAAAACATAAAGTCAAAAATACAACAGAAAATATATATACAGTGTGTCCAAATGTAGCAAGTTATGGAGGTAAGGCAATAAATAGGCTATAGTGCAAAATAATTACAATAGTATTAACACTGGAATGCTAGATGTGCAAGAGATTATGTGCAAATAGAGATACTGGGGTGCAAAAGAGCAAAATAAATAACAATATAGGGATGAGGTAGTTGGGTCGGCTAATTTCAGATGGGCTGTGTACAGGTGCAGTGTTCGGTAAGGTGCTCTGACAACTGATGCTTAAAGTTAGTGAGGGAGATAAGAGTCTCCAGCTTCAGAGATTTTTGCAATTCGATCCAGTCATTGGCAGCAGAGAACTGCAAGGAATGGCGGCCAAAGGAGGTGTTGGCTTTGGAGACAAAACTGGAGCGCAGACTACGGGTGGGTGCTGCTATGGTGACCAATGAGCTAAGATAAGGTGGGGATTTGCCTAGCAGTGATTTATAGATGGCCTGGAGCCAGTGGGTTTGACGACGAACATGTAGTGAGGACCAGCCAACAAGAGCGTACAGGTCACAGTGGTGGGTAGCGTATGGGGCTTTGGAGACAAAACGGATGGCACTGTGATAGACTACCTCCAATTTGCTGAGTAGAGTGTTGGAGGCTATTTTGTAAATGACATCGCCGAAGTCAAGGATCGGTAGGATAGTCAGTTTTACGAGGGCATGTTTGGCAGCATGAGTGAAGGAGGCTTTGTTGCGAAATAGGAAGCCGATTCTAGATTTAACTTTGGATTGGAGATTCTTTATGTGAGTCTGGAAGGAGAGTTTACAGTCTAACCAGACACCTAGGTATTTGTAGTTGTCCACATACTCTAGGTCAGACCCGTCAAGAGTGGTGATTCTAGTCGGGTGGGCGGGTGCCAGCAGCGTTCGATTGAAAAGCATGCATTTAGTTTTACTAGTGTTTAAGAGCAGTTGGAGGCTACTGAAGGAGTGTTGTATGGCATTGAAGCTCGTTTGGAGGTTTGTTAACACAGTGTCCAATGAAGGGCCAGATGTATACAAAATGGTGTCGTCTGCGTAGAGGTGGATCTGAGAGTCACCAGCAGGAAGAGCGACATCATTGATATACGCGGAGAATAGTGTCGGCCCAAGAATTGAACCCTGTGGCACCCCCATAGAGACTGCCATAGGTCCAGACAACAGGCCCTCCGATTTGACACACTGAACTCTATCTGAGAAGTAGTTGGTGAACCAGGCGAGGCATTCATTTGAGAAACCAAGGCTATTTAGTCTGCCAATAAGAATGCGGTGGTTGACAGAGTCGAAAGCCTTGGCCAGGTCGATGAAGACGGCTGCACAGTACTGTCTATTATCAATCGCGGTTATAATATCATTTAGGACCTTGAGCGTGGCTGAAGTGCACCCATGACCAGCTCGGAAACCGGATTGCATAGCGGAGAAGGTACGGTGGTATTCGAAATGGTCGGTGATCTGTTTGTTAACCTGGTTTTCAAAAACTTTTGAAAGGCAGGGCAGGATGGATATAGGTCTGTAGCAGTTTGGATCTAGTGTCACCCCCTTTGAAGAGGGGGATGACCGCGGCAGCTTTCCAATCTCTGGGGATCTCAGACGTTATGAAAGAGAGGTTGAACAGACTAGTAATAGGGGTTGCGACAATTTCGTTTTAGAAAGAAAGGGTCCAGATTGTCTAGCCCAGCTGATTTGTAGGGGTCCAGATTTTGCAGCTCTTTCAAAACGTCAGCTGTCTGAATTTGTGTGAAGGAGAAGCGGGGGGGGCATGGGCAAGTTTCAGCGGAGGGTGCAGAGTTGGTGGCCGGGGTACTGGTAGCCAGATGGAAAGCATGGCCAGCTGTAGCAAAATGCTTGTTGAAATTCTCGATTATTGTAGATTTATCGGTGGTGATAGTGTTTCCTAGCCTCAGTGCAGTGGGCAACTGGGAGGAAGTGCTCTTATTCTCCATGGACTTTACAGTGTCCCAAAACGTTTTGGAGTTAGTGCTACAGGATGCAAATTTCTGTTTGAAAAAGTTTGCCTTTGCTTTCCTGACTGCTTGTGTATATTGGTTCCTAACTTCCCTGAAAAGTTGCATATCGCGGGGGCTATTTGATGCTAATGCAGTACGCCACAGGATGTTTTTGTGCTGGTCAAGGGCAGTCAAGTCTGAGGAGAACCAGGGGCTATATCGGTTCTTAGTTCTGTATTTTTTGAATGGGGCATGTTTATTTAAGATTGAGAGGAAATTACTTTTAAGGAACAACCAGGCATCCTCTACTGACGGAATGAGATCTATATCCATCCAGGATACCTGGGCCAGGTCAATTAGGAAGGCCTGCTCGCTAAAGTGTTTTAGGGAGCGTTTGACAGTGATGAGGGGTGGTCGTTTGACCGCGGACCCGTTACGGACGCAGGTAATAAGGCAGTGATCGCTGAGATCCTGGTTGAAGACAGCTGAGGTGTATTTAGAGGGTATGTTAGTCAGGATGATATCTATGAGGGTACCCATGTTTACGGATTTAGGGTTGTACCTGGTAGGTTCGTTGATAATTTGCGTGAGGTTGAGGGCATCTAGTTTGGATTGTAGGATGGCCGGGGTATTAAGCATATCCCAATTTAGGTCACCAAGCAGTACGAACTCTGAGGATAAATGGGGGGCAATCAATTCACATATGGTGTCCAGGGCACATCTGTGGGCTGAGGGGGGTCTGTAGCAAGTGGCAACAGTGAGAGA